AGATGTTCACGTGATCTGGCTGTAAAGTGTTAGCAAACAGCGTGCAGACTTTGAAAACGCGATTGAAAAGTTGCTTGTATATATCACCTAAGTCATTGTCATGCCAACCCAGCAGTGAAACATTAAGTAAATGTCTAGAAAATGTCCCATATATAACCAGATTTTTAGGAGAGCGAACCGAAAAATTGTAGACAAACTGCTTAAAAAGTGTTGAAAGGCGATTTTAAAGTTGGTAGATTCATTTGGGTTTGTTACCTATGATGTTATATTAACATGTCTCATAGTTAAAAGTTCAAAAATATGAATAAATATTTAGTAACAATGTTGACGTCATACGTCAATTCAAGATGTTACTTGTGTGTACGATATCAAGTTAAAAACATTTTCGAACATGATATAGCCGCCAATTTCAAATTACCCATGTTGCAGTGTGGTTAGTTGATGGCCCGGCATCTAAAGTAAAGGTCGGGCTTGATTAGTACTTGCATTGAAGACTACCTCGGTACACAGGCTGTTGGAATTCTTTCGTATGGTTGCATGCCACACATGGAAAGGTTATGAGGGAATGATCATGCATTTTTCTTGCTGTGATATCAATCATTGACAGTGGAGAATCGAGGAATTGTTTTAATTCATGGAAAGTTTTCAAATTCTCTCTAATTTTCAACGAATATTGTTTCGATACTGTCGGCTCGTAGTGGTTTTAAGCCGCTAAAACACTGTGCAGAGTTGAACAAAGTTGTACAAAGTGATTGTGAAGTTGTGCAAAGTGATTGCAAATTTGGTAGATGTATTTGTATATATGACCTAAGTTGTTGGCATATAGAAACGCGCTGTTGTAAAGTCGAAAAAATGAACAAAAGTCATATGAAAGCAGCCCATATTTGAAGATTGTCTCCCATGAGCTGGCTGTAAAATGTCAGAAAACAGCGTGCAAACTTTGAAAACGCGTTTGAAAAGTGGGCGGAGTTGTTAAATTACGAAAACATTAAATGTCTAGAAAATGTCCCATATCTAAAGAGATTATCAAAAAGCGAACCGAAAAATTGAAGACAAACTGCTTACAAACTTGTGAGAAGCGATTGAAAAGTTGGTAGACTCATATGGGATTGTTACCTATGACGATATATTAACAAGTCCCATAGTTAAGATGTAAACAAATATTTAACAATTATTGGGATATAAACAACACTCATTTAATTATTTTCCACCATTAAACTCGTTAAATTGAGTGAATAAATGTGTGGACAAATATTGGCCAATGTTTGTGAGTAAATACCTATACCTTTAGAAGGTTGTTAAATTGAGAGTATAAATTTGTTAACTAAATATTTGATACTTCTGATATGATATGATTGAAGGTCGTGTAATTTGTGACATCACTAATTCGTGTGTAAGGACGGCTTCTGGAATTGTGCCCTACAAATTACATAAAGGTCATCGTCTCAAGTACGTAATCCTACGTCGCCGTTACAGCGTTATTGTACATTGCTACGTTACTGTTGCTAAAGATTTTTTCTTGTAGAACTGACCTTTTCTATGAACTTAACTAAAGTGTTTGCATACATATGTGTATTTATATCAAATTATCATGCCTACGATTTGTAATTGTATCTCTATTTTAAGGGCATAATATTTTGAAGCATTTTGAATAATTGTAATATTATCAATATTGATTTAGATGTTGTTATAACATGATTATGTTAGCGTATTGGAACACAATCGAGTGTAATTTATGTAGTAATTAGTGTGGTTTGATAGTGTTTCTGAAGCCACTGCTAAAATAACCGAATTGGAGTTCGTTGTTGTAATCCTTAATACTCTTTTGTCATTCCCGGTGTTGGGAGATAACATACGTTACTTCCTAGCACCGTGCCATGACAGTACACCACTTGACTACTAAAATAATGGTAAACCAAGTTACTTAGTCAACGCTAATATTACGGGCATATGCAAAAGATTATAGAGACTATATTGTTACAGATGGGGGGAACAAATCCATTCCAGGTGACACCATTCTATTCAGCATGGGCACCCGTGGAGAAACAGCATGGAATACCGAACACAGAAAAGTGATAAGAGAAACTGAAAGGCTTTAGACAGAATGTCGTGATATATTCGAGGAGCGTTTAATAGAACTCCTGAATTCTTCAAGCATTACGGTAAATGATGATTACTATTATTCAACCACAAGGTGGCAAAATCGGACAAGATTCATTCCATATTTGTTAAATTGGTCAAGTTTCATTTGTATTGATTGACTTGAGCTGATATTTATTATATAGCAATTAGAATATACAATATGCTTTGATGTTAATATTTTCTTCAAAAGGTTGCAAAGGTTAATTAAGTATGTTCAACTTGCAATGTTTAGGCAACCGCCCCAAAATATGATATAATATTGAACATTTGACAGAAAAATACACTTAGAAATCTATGAATTATTGTACTAAATATTCTATGGAGCAATACTCTAATTTAAATATAGACTCACAAAGATTAAAATTAAACAGATAAATACTCATATATGGTATATATAGGTGTCACAACAACGCAATATTACCGTAATTGGTATAGTACAGGTGTGATGGTTCAAATACCAAAATGGCAACAGTAACATAAAGACATCCCTGGCGGCGATGATAACATACGAACACGGAGCCAACAGATGAGGTTTCAACTGGTACTGGTATTATTATACTCTGCAAACATCAAGTACAATAACGCGGTAAAACTCCAATCCTCCAACAACTAGATACTTAAACTCCTACACAATTCAACGAGATCTCCGATCTGAACTCAGTGCTGAACAACTCCCTTTTATATACCCCCACTGTCTATAAATAGACCATTACATCAGCATACATAATGAGTCTAGAACTTACTACAAATTTCTAGAATGTTCCATTACCTTCTATTGCCTCCTACAGTGTTCTATTACCTATTCAATCAGTTTCTAAAAAAATCTAGAATATTCCACCCAGACACAGTACGGTTCTAGAACATTCTCAGTGATACGACAATAGGTTTCTGCAAGATGCCATCATTGTATCATATGTGCACCTAAGTTACTAAATCGGGATAAGAGAAGTCTACGTGATCATGTTAATCTTATTAGATCCTTCAAGGTTCAACCATCAGTTGTTATTGTTGATATGCCACATATGATATAAAACATTGAAATATTATATATCTCCAGATGTCCATTCCTATGACGCAGACTTGCAAATAACACATCAGAAAATAATATGCTGACAACAGAAAGCAAATTACACTCACCTTGGTTATATGGTTGACCAGACCTAAGAAATCATGTACTAGGCGATGATAATCACCTGTAATTGTATGATGTTTTTTACAAAAAAAATACATCCAAAGAAGTATTACGACGTATTGCAAATGTTCCGGAGTTGCACGGAATTGTAAATAGTGAGGATGATTTGATTTATTCATATATCTACAGAGACAGGTTGGGAGAGTGTATACTGCCAAGACCAATGGATTGAAATTGATTATTCCACACACTGTGTGGATATATTTGTAGAGTTAAAGACATCCAACGGACAGTACAATCTCATTTGAAGTTACGCCAACATATTTTAAACTTCATTTTAAAACTTAACTTCAGGCGAGAAATGGCATTTTTGTTCATTCACAATCCCATGGATTGCTGTGAGACAAGTTACAAGCATGTGCTTTACACTACTGTAAATATAAGATTAGTCGTGCACAATATGTCAATGATAGTTATTATTATCCAAAAAACATTGAAGTTAGTATTATTGAGAGTATAACGTGTTCAGCGTTAAACGATATTGATTGGCATTCCCAATTATTAGTTAATCGGTTAAGGCTGGCTCATGTCTTTCTGTTATTATTTGTTATTTTATGTTTCATACGTCTTTGTATTCAACATAATATTCAGAGTTTTGACAAGATCAGCAGATTGTATAAATACAAATGAAGACGGTCATGGCGCATTATTTCAAACCATTATTGCATAATATAATTATCTCCCTGGTATTCTAAAGAACTTACCATGTATCGAACTACGTGTCGAAAAATACGTTTTGAGAATAACATCGACTACATGAAAGGGTTGAGGGTTTCGGGTGACCAGATTATACTTGTTGTTGTTTCAATTATGTTGCATTAGAAAATAATAATTTACAGAGCAATGAAATAAAATTAAATTGAAATCTTTGTTTGCGCATATTCTCTTTTATTCAATTTGTTTCGTGAGCTGTACTACGTACTATGATAACGTCGGTTTTATTCTTTAGAGAGACCTGGTAATCACGACAAATGCATTTGAACTGATATATAAAACTACTTGACTTTATTAAATTGCCTATGATGACAGAGGACGGAAAACCCAATCAGACCACTTTAAAGAACGTTGGAAACGCGATATTATCTGAATCCAGCACTGTAATAACGAACGTACTTGTCGATTGTAAGGGGATTATTGTACGATGCAACATATATGAAAATTCCATTCTCAAATCCGGAAGAACTGCCTAGGACACTATTTGCACCACTTCATTGGGTTGTATGTAAGGGGATCGATATATCGTCTCTTACTGATTGGCTATGTTGTGCAGTGTACTCGACAGTTGTTTTGTTGAATGTTGTCTGTCATTTGTTTCATATTCCTATTCTCTATGCGACTTGATAAACAGATAAACGGTTAGATATAATAGTTTTAATTGATGATCTTTATTCCAAATGCATTAAATATAAATGTGATAAGATTATGTAATATATTACTATAAATACATTTGTAACATGTGACATTTAAATTTGTAAAGTTTACAATTTTTATATGCATAATGCTTTTATATCAATAAATATTTTTAGTGATTTTTTGTTCATCATATAAAAAATGTTAGCTTTGAAAACATCGACTGCGTTCGGAGCGCCACCATGTGGCCATTCACACAGCACACGTAGATTACTCACAATATGTTGTTGCTTATTCTGGCAGAGATACAAACAATCCCGAGCTGAGCAGTGTAACATACTGTACCGAAAGCCGAGTACAACTTTTACAGTTTTCGCATAATGACTGGCAACCCTGATCTGAGGAAAGTGCTTGAAGAACGCATTGATACATTTAGCCGACTATTCAACGAAAAGAACTGGGAGGCTCTTTACGATATGCATACTCCTGAATGCAGATTTATTCGCGCTGGGAAAGTGTATTCAGGGTCTACTGGTGTGTATTTAATTATTCATCAATATATCAGCTTATATATTTTTTCGTAAATTCACCGTTGGTTTAAGGATTTACCGTGACACATTCACTTATGTGTTTACGTTTTGATACAACCACATATGTTTGTTCGCTATATATCCTCTAAATTATCTCCTTGCCAAAATATTGGCTTATTTAGGGTACGTATATCGTCATACAAAACACAAAAATAGGTTCGTGCCTATTTTTGTAAATGTGTGTTTTATCCCGCTGATTGGTTTTCCAGTAAATTCACTGAGACTGGTTTTGCTTAGCTTGTAGGCTTTCATTATAATGTTGTGACCGACGAAGTGAAATGTGACAGAATAATGTAGACTATATTAATTACAATATTGTTAGGTAAGATTGTAAATTTGAGCAATATTTAGTTAGCTGAAATGTTATTGAAACAACCTGTAATAGAGACTTGCCCCTTTTTCATGAAATAAACGTGATATCCAATCTTGTCAACAATTCCACATAAAATATCACGTTTGCAACTCATTAAATAAAAAAACAAACAGTTACAAACCTGATTGTCCATTCATTGTATCGTTACATCTACCGTTAAACGTACGTATTACAAATACCTAATTTCGCTGATTTTCAGATACAATAGAAAAAATGAAGCAGTTGAGAATGGAATTCGATAAAATGGACGCAACAACAAAGGACGTTGAGGGAATATTAGGAGGTGATAATGTGTACTGTAGTGTCACATACAAGATGAAAAATGCAGAATCTCCTGTGTACACCATCAAATTATTATACATATGGAAGCTGGTCGATGGGTTATATAAAGCTGATATTGTGTTTGCTTCAAAGCATATTCCTTAATCTTATGTGCCTCTCGTACATGTACATGTACTACCTGGTTAATAATTTAAAACAAACAAATAAAATGTTTGTGAAAATATATTTCTTTTCTGAATGTTTATTTGAGTAATTTAAATGAATATTTGTGATTTGGCATGTCAATTAATTGAGTCCAATATTGTATACACTTCTTCGCTTTCATGCGACGCGCTGTGTACGATCATACACGCCTCCACCAAAAAAATGAACAGAAATATTAGGAGTGTGTTTTTCAACACTCGGTTGCATTCTAGACTCTAGACTCGTATCTCTGAAAAACCCCACAAAAAATAAATCAGATTCATAGAATTGTATACATCCGAAGTGGTTGATTTACTTTGCCAAGATTGTGAATGCCGAATCGCTTATTAGTCACTACACACAGACACAGCACGGTGAAATATTTCGCCAAATACTTCACAGCTCGATGTTTGTGGATTCGCAATGAGGTTATCCAATGAAAACAGCATGACTAGTGGGGGGAACACATACCAATCAGATAAACAAACTCAACCATGAATCATTAAACAAAAGTTTACATTGAAAGCTACATATTAATTAACTTATCCTCACAAATTAAATAAAACATACATAACAAAATATTATGAAATCAGTGAAAGAACAATACATAGAATCCTGGGGTACACACCAAGATGTAATACGCCCGGGTAAAACCTCATCCTTGTGATTTCCATTAGAAGGACTGAATTGTGGGAACATCAAATTGAATGTCTATCAACACAAATGTCACACATGCGCAGCGCGACGACCACCGCCCTTGAAAAAGGGGCATTTTAAATTCAATATTGGAAAGGCACTTTCTGAAGGGAGCAGATGAAACGGAAAGCATATTAAAAGATGTACGTCGAAATGAACTTATGAAGGTAAATAATTGCTTTCGGCAACTTTTCTAATGTAGTGAAGATATGACGCCTTACCAGAGATGTGTCTATTGTTGTCGATAGTTTAGCTCGGAAACAAATTATGCTCTTTTAACCTCCTAACTGTTGTGTTCTGGAAAATAAAGCTAAAGAAATGTGTTGACTACTTACCACTAACTGATGACGTATTATATGGAACACGTGTGGAAGAATTTGGTAATTCGGATGACAAGGCACCTGTTCACGCCAAATGTCAACCCACATTATCCATTCAAATAAAAATATTTAGTGCGCTTCCACGTATTCATCGATAAATCCATTCCCGATGGGACACATGCGATTGGAGATTCTTGCACACTGACATATAATAGTCGTGGCTTGTTCATATATGTCATAAATTTATTTGATTTGATATATTGCCAACACTAAAAAACGTTCCCTTGAAATATCCATTTTGTGAACAGTACAACGGAGATGAATATTAAAATAAGCATTTTCTAAATGCGCACTGCATTCAGTAAATATAACCCAGCCCTACACACTGTACTGACCCTCACAATTAATTCTATCGATTGTGATCCTACCACAGCTGCATTGCGATGTCGTCTTTATTTTGATTCTACTCCTCCACGCTGTCATTGGAAGGGGTGATAAATAGTTTTTTTGTTCAAAAATGGGTTTCAAGTACAGTGTTAAAAACAATACCAAATATACCATAAAGTTTTATTCATTTTCAAATATACACACGTATAAACATAGAACCAAGTATCACAGTCGAGTACTGCAGTGGTGGTCGTTGCTATGTCTGATGCGCATGCGTCAAATATGGTCATCGCATAAAAGAATTTAACGACAACATTGAAAAAAAGGAAAATGTCAACAGATACTTTTGGATACGCAACCCCGGATTTGTGAGCGTTTTTTGCCCAGTGGAATAAGCACTTGTACTATTATGAAGAATGCACTGCAGAGTTTTGAAATAAAATCATATTCAAAAGAAGCATTATTTCATTTTTACCTCTTCCTCATGCCAGTTTTCAAAATTGTAATTCATCAATGCAAATATATGACATAAAAATGTTAGCACAGGGTTATTGGAATACACAATGGAAACATTAGAGCGCGGTCCAATCTGATTAAATGTTATGTATCAGTTTTGACGTTCATTTTGGTATAACGTTTGGTTGAAATTTTAATTGTCATCTCACTAAAACATATAGTGCAACCCAATAAATATAAATATAATATTGAATCACAAACAGGTCATTTTTCGTGTTGAAATAGGTGTACATATGTTGTTTTTGTGTCCCACGCACAAAAAGCTGTGCGGTATTTGACGAAAACTAGAGATACAGTCTCTAATTTTAGTCAATAGTGATGAAATAGTTTCTTAAAGTCTCCTCACCCCTAACATCAACCATAACCTTAACATATTTTGATGAGACCCCGCTATTTTAATTTATGCCGGCGCTGAATGTTTTATTACATTTCGCCGAAATCGTAATGGTCAACTTTATCGAAGGGTTCAATCAGTCTGAAGTTTAAATATCTTTATTCCTTCCCTTAGTAAACGTAAAAAATAACTAAAATTGTATTGTTTCAAACCAGTTTTGTATGCTGTATGTTGTAATGAGGCATTTGTTTTCTATACTAATTAATGTATATTATTGTATTAATGTATTACTCGCAATTCAGATGATTAATTTACCTTGGTTAGTTCCTAGCACGAACATAAAGATTATGTTATTGTTAATATCTGTTATGCTTATATTGTTACAGATGGTGGAAACAAATCCATTCCAGGTGACACCCATCTATTAAACATGGGCACCGTCCATTCGACTAGCTACCCGTAGGAAAACAGTATGAAATACCGAACACAGAAAAGTGAAACAGAAACTAAAAGGCTTGAGACAGAATGTCGTGATATGTCCGAGGAACGTTTAATAAAACTTCTGAATTTTTCAAGAATTACGGTGGCGAAATCGGACAGGATTCATTCTAATTTATATTTGTTATATTGATCATGTTTCATTTGTATTGATTGGACTGAGGTCACATTTATTATATAGGAATTGGAGTATACACAATCCTTTGATATAATATAGACCTACAGAGTTTAAATTTAGAAATAGTGTAATTCATAAAATTGCAACTGTTAATGGTAAATATATCATTGACTAAATTGTGTATGAAAAACAGATAAATATTTTTTATATAGTATATATGGCTACCTGCAACCTGCCCTCATTGTATCGTATATGCACTTAAGTTACATATCCGGGATCAGAGAAGTCCACGTGATCATGTTAACCTTATTAGATCATTTAAGGTTCAACCATCAGTTGTTATTGTTGATATGCCACATATGGTAGTAAGACATTGAAATATTAGATATCTCTATGACTTGCAAAAAACACATCAGAAAATAATATGTTGGCATCAGAAGGCAAATTACCATTTCTCTATTGACTGCATGTTGAATGTAGATTGTTGATCAGAGACTAAATAACCATGTTGGTTTAAGTCATATAGGATTTTTAAAACTGTCATTGTTAGTTAAGTACTTCATTTTTCAATTCAATCTTTGGAAGTACATGTTACATAATTATGTTCTCTCCTCACACAAGCGTCATTCGACCGCAAATATTTTTCTTATTGACCACATGTCCAATGATACCGCACAAATGAATAGTGTGTCCAGGCAGAAAAATGTAACAGGTATGATAATTACATATCTGAATCATGTTCCTCATAATTTGTATTTCAATCATCCAATACAGATAATAAAATAATACAACATTCGGTTATAGACATTGAAGTCGCAGAAAAGATTATATAGCAATAGACCAAATACAAGATAATTGACTGTGATATGAAAATATCGTTAGTATGGAACATGTTGGTTTTCAATCGTGAGGCTAATATATTCATAAGTATTATTTTTAGTATTTAGGTTACAATAATTAAATGATTGCTATTATGACGGTTCTACGCGAGTCACGTGAAACTACCGACAGGAAGTATCACTGGTCTGGGGATGCCCTACATAGAGACAGGTTGGAGTTAGATATCCCACGGACAGAACTATCTCACTTGGAGTTACGCCAACTCATTTTAGACTTCATTTTAAAACTTCACGTGAGAAATAGCACATGGCATTTCTGTTCATTCACAATCCCATAGATTGATGTGAGACGAGTTACAAACATGTACTTTACATTACGGTAAATATAAGATTAGTCGTGCACAATATGTCAATGATAACATAGTTATTATTATCCAAAAAACATTGAAGTTAGTATTATTGAGAGTATAACGTGTTCACGATATTAATTGGCATTCCCAATTAGTAGTTAATTAGTTAAGGCTGGTTTATGTCTTTTTGTTATTATTTGTTATTTTATGTGTTATACAAGTATGCATTCAACACAGTTTTGACAATATCAGATAATTGTATAAATACAAATGAAGACGGTCATGGCGCATTATTTCAAACCATTATTGCGTAAAAAAAACGTTTTGAGAATAACATCAACTACATGAAAGGGCCGGGGGTTGTGGGTGACCAGATTATACTTGCTGTTGTTTCAATTAGGTTGCAATAGAAAATAATATCTTACAGAGAAATGAAATGGAATGAAATTGATGTCTTTGTTTGTGCATATTCTCCTTTATTCAATTTGTTTCGTGAGCTGTACAACGTACTATGATAACATCGGTTTTATTCTTTAGAGAGACCTGGTAATCACGACAAATGCATTTGAACTGATATATAAAACTACTTGACTTTATTAAATTGCCTATGATGACAGAGGATGGAAAACGCGCGCTAAGATTAATAAGGTATTTTTTATCAGTTCGCCATCACGGCAACGTAAATTTCAGTAGTGTACATTTTGTCATCCACCTATATTGTCCCTAATAACCAACAAAATAAGTGGCAATATTGTTCTTCTCAAAATTGTGCTCGTGTTCTGCCTTTATAAAATAAAATACATGCAGTAAGTATTTGTTATTTGTAGAAATTATATGTGTAGGTTAACGTACATTTCACCTTACAAAATACGAACCCAATCAGACCACTTTAAAGAACGTTGGAAACGCGATATTCCCACGACTAAAACAATTTTCAATATCACATTTAATTGATTGCATTAATTAGAAGTTAATGTATTCGTG